TTCACCTCCTGCAGCGCACGCTCCTTGAGCACTGTCTTAATGCACAGGGGCGTGCGCAAGCGCACGAGCACCTTCTTCTGCGCCTCCGCATTCATCCGCTGGGACTCGGTGCGACTTCCTCGGGCGTACAGCGTCTGCAGGATTTGCCCCGCCGTCTTGCCCTTGGGGTCGACGCCCACCTCCGCGAGCTTGTGAAGGTATCTCTTCTGAACCTGCTCCACCTCCTTCTCGCTCACGAACGGCACCTCATCCTCCTGGGGCAGCACGGAGAACCCAAGCCGCGTGCCACTGACGGCGGTCTGCGATGCTTGCTGGTACAACGCCTCGGCCGAGGCCGCCGAAGCTGGCAGATGAGCTCGGGCTTGGGGACTCGCATTGCCAGGCGAAGCTCTCGCCATGATCTCCGTTTCCCGAACTGCTTTTGGGGTCTCAGGCTCTGCTGCCTGCAAACCGTGCACGGGGCTGTGCGGTGGATTCCCGGGCAACGTGGGAGCTGGAGCTGGAGTGGGGGACCTCTGCGTCTGGCGCTCCTGGCGCTCCTCCTGCCCAGGTCCGTCCCAGGCGCTCCGCACAGGCACCCGTGGCGTCGGCGCTCGTGGTGTCAGGAGACGGTGCGTCTGAAGTGCGCTGCTTGCGGCAGGTGGCGTCGGGGTCTTCGCCGTCGGCCTTGCGCCGCAGCCGGCCGAGGGTGGCCTCATGTACGAGGCAGCTCTTGGTGTCAGCCTGCCTTCAGCTCGGCTCTGTGGACGCTCTCGCGGACGCTCTCCTCGGGCACTCTGGGGCTGACCCTGGGGTGTGTAGCACTTCGGCCGGAACCGAAGAGCCCGAGATTGCTTCACCATAGGTAGATGACCCAAGATGCGCGCAATTTCGCTCCTGTCGTCTTTGCCCCGGTAAGCAATGGACTTGGAGACCATGCCTGGTGTAGCTTTTGCCACATGGTTGAGATCATCGAACAACGACTCATCCGACGGGTTGTGCAGCAGGACTGGATCGTCATCACGCAAGGGCTTCTGCAGCATCGTGGCACACCCGACTGACCATGGACTACTAGGGCTGATTGTTTTGCTGCTCTGCAACGCTAGGGGATTTCCGTTGCAGAAAACCTTCGAGCCCGGAAATTTAGAGGCAGTCATGAAGCTTTGCTGTCGTAGAACAAACCCCGTGACTGGAAAAGGCACCGTACATTCTTGAGTTGCAACCACTTACTTGCATGCAGTTGCAGTCCAGGATGTAGTTGCTGTGTTGCGACCTTCCTCTACGAATGCACACTGCACAAGCATACGTGTCTTTCTGTTGTTTGGCTGTGCGAGAACGCAGCATTGATCTGCTCCACTGCCGTTAGAGCCTGCTTTCTACTGCACGCTGTCAGGGTACCAGGCCATCCGGATATCCGAATACGATGCTGTTTCAGTCCCTGTCCTACACTGTTCTGCTACGAAGCCAGGTGGGGGCGGCGGGGGATTGTGCAGCCTGAATCCGCGCATCCCGGAACACTTGGTCGCCAGTCTGGTTGCAGAAGCCCACATGGTGATTCCGGACGCAGCTGGAGGAGGATGGCAGCTGCGACCTTGATTCTTCATGAACAAGAGCAAAGGTTGCCTGGCTGTCGAGGCATGTTCCCGTGTTGTAGCTAGTCAGTGTTGTCCCACATGCACTCTTCCTGCGAAAGCCGGGCCAAGAGACAGTATCGAATAGAAGCTCTCCTCTCCCAACAGCAACGTCGCATTGAGGAAACACCTAGGCGTGCCCGCCTAGACATGGCTTGAGCACGATAGCAAGGAGGTGAAGATCCTTTCATCCGTGAAGCCACGGTGATGCTTCTGCAATGCAAGTAATCTCAGCAGCCACCAGCGACTCTTGACATTTGCACTACACGGTGGAGTCGTAGAGTACTAAACATGCGCAGCACGCACGTGCCCCAACATAAAAAGCTGCTTACTTCAGACAGGACACAGGAAGGCCAAGAACTTGGACCAGACCTCTTCATGCAGGTCTCAGCGTGTCCGTGGCTATGTCTAAGGTGTGTATAACATACATATAGATATATAAACATATACATATACATATACATATACATATACATATACATATGCATATGCATATGCATATGCATATACATATACATATACATATACATATACATATACATATACATATATATATATATGTGTGTGTGTACATATATACATATATATATATATATATATGTGTGTGTGTGTGTACATGCGTGTATATAGATGCATCTACGTATGTGTATATGTGTGCATGTACGCATGTATATATATATATATATGTGTGTGTGTGTGTGTGTGTCTGCATGTAAGTAGGTAGGCAGGTTGGTGGTGGTGTGTGTACATATATATATATATATATATATATATGTGTGTGTGTGTGTGTGTTTGTATTTGTACACGTGAGTACGAACGGATATGGTTTGTAGGATATAGCCCTCTGGCGGCCTTTGGACCCACGTGCTGCCACAGGCACATGCTGGTAGGTGAGATCGAAGACGATGCACCGGGCACCCACCATCCAGAGCCGTGTCCAGATCGTGCCGGAAGTCTCGTGGCCTTCGAGCCGTGCCCCGTTTGCGTCTTTTATGAACTCATCCGGCTCAAAGCCTTTCATATTGAAGCCCAATATAGAACAAGTGGCCTAACATGCAAGGTTCTAGTTTGGGTTCACTCTAACGGCTCCACCGGCCTGCAGACAGAACTCTTGAATGCCGAAGCTTGAACAATTAGATGGGTCCATGGTGCCAGATGAAACCTACCATGTGTGTGCGTGTGCGCGGGCATGCCCTGAAAGAGCGAAAACCCGACATGTTTAGCTGTTTAACCCCGCCCCTGCCCCTGACTTCCAAATGACCTAGGGGTCGAATAATGAAAAATGACATGTGTGTGCCCTATACAGTCCCTGAAGCAACTATGCCAAAATATGACCCCACAGCCCTATTCTGATCAAGGCCCTATACATAACACCCTACCAGGTTCTGGAAGCCCGAGCCGGCAAACTCCACAGGTCTCGCGCTGAGAGCGCAAACAAAAAGGCGGCAAAGAGTCCAGGTACAAGGTCTCCCAGAGCCCAATACCCCTTAATTGAGGAATATGGCTTAAACCATCATGATATGAATCCCCTTATAATTTAAGGTATATTCCATAATCAAGGGGTATTGGGCTCTCTGGTTTCCCAGCAACACGCAGGAAACCAGAAGCCTTTCACCCTAAGTCCCTAAGTTCCCCTTTGGGGCTCAAAAAACACCGCCGGCCCTCGCGGGCGAGGGAGCGCGCGCCCCCACTCGACACCTCAGAGTGGGAGCAGGTAGGTGTGGTTGAGAGATTCCTTCAAGGGTTCCTTTCAAAATTCCGAAAACAATCAAGGACTATAGGGTTCTATCTGGGTCGTTCCTCTTGAGACTCGTCTAGAGGTCCTGGACAAGTACTAAAGGCTCCATAGGGCTTCAACGCTTTTTTCATGCTTCGGAGCTTCAGAACTTCCGGCTTCGTGGCCGGATTTGAGGAGGCATACTCAAGCATTTTGAATTGGACTCTTAAGGTGCAAAAGCGCCTCTGATCCCTGAACCCAACACCCCAAAGCCTAAAACCCTGTACTTCTGGCCTCAAGACAGAGAAAGATCACAGAAGGGCTAGCATTAGGAAACTCTCCTTCGCGGGCTTCTCCAGATGGTTTACGCCTCTGGGAGGCTCTCTGTGCAAGGAACGAGAAATTCCTGCCGCTGGCGTACTGTAGGTGCCTCAATACTTCGAATAAGGTTTGGGGATGATTACAGTATAAATACAAGAAGGAACCACAAGGAATAAATGGTACTTTTACTGGTAGGTATTTAAGCTTCCACAGTAGCAGTGTCCAAACCCCAGCAGCCTATCCGCGACTACCAGACAGCCTGAGAGCTAGAAAAGAGACAGCTCGACGTAAAGACTCTTATGTAGGGGCCTTAATAATTCGAACAGGGCTTTGCGGCCCATTATACCACAATCATAACAAGAAGCCAAATGGAAAAGGTAATTATGCAGGCCCTACGTCCGGCCCGGGGCGCCAGGGGCGCATAGCCTTCCCCCAGTGACTGGAGCTCCACCTCTGGAGTCTCCATGAAGGCATGGCACTGCCCAGAGAGCCCAGAACCCCTTAAATAAGGAATATACCTAGGGTTCCTGTAAAGGGATCCTTTAAGAGATCTATAGGGTTGAGGGTTTAGGGGATTCTAATGCCCCTCAAATAAGGAATATACCTCAAATTATCAGGGGGTTCATATTATAATTTAAGCTAGATTCCTTAATGAAGGCATGGCACTGAGGAGTCCGGGAGCTCTGGGGCGGGGCTTTTGGGTGTGTTAGGATGAATTCTTCTTTTTTTGGTTTCGGGTTCTCCGGCTTTTGGGGTTCTGGGCTTTATGGCTTGAGGGGTTTGGGGTTTTGGGGTTGCAGGCCTTCTTAGTCGTTTTTGTTTTGGCTTTCTTGGTTTAGGGTTTGAGCTTATCTGGGTCGGCTTGCGGCTGGGGTTGGCAGAAGCCGTTACTTCGGACACAAAAAAACTGGGATTCGAACAACTGCGACACAAAACCTGCGGCATCGCGCTCGTAAATGCTTTGAGTTGAAGCCGCCGCAGGTGCTGCAACTTGAACCTGCGAGCCTACATGAGGCTGCAGAGCATCGCTGAGATTTCAAAATCATTCCCCGCACAAGAGCCGGCCACATTCCGTGAGCGACGCTAAAGCAACTCAGAATCGTTGACCTCAAGACTTTGCTAGCTTTCACTCTGCAAGACTGCAAGGCACGCCTTTTTCAGAAGGACATCGCAAGCCTACCTTTGAGGCGATGAACGAAGGGGCTGCACTATCTGAATGTGCATATTAGCTGAATCACACTGTGATTCTGCGAATCTTGGGCAGAAGAAAGGGATATGAAGGAATCGCAAGGTTTCTTGCTCGACCTGGCAACGGAAACTAGCATCCTGAGCCCTCCGAGCAACAAGTGGGCTCAGCTGAAAACGAAATTTCCGCTCAGCTCGCCTGCCCAGGAACGATCCCGTGGCGTCAAAGCTGTGGCATTCACGGCCTCACAGCTCCTGTGCCGTTTGAGTTCTGGCTCAAACATGGACAGACGAAACCCCTTGTGCCCTGCTATCTAGGGCACTATATTACGGTCCCCTATTTTCGGAAACTCCCCTGTGGCTCTATGACATCCAGGAGTCCGGTACATCTGACAGTAGCCAGACTCGGCATCGAAGTCCCAGCACCGGCAGCCAGGCTCACCTGGAACTCCGGTCTCACTTTTATCAGGGTTTCATTCTTCTTAGGGTTTCTCAGAAATATGATCTTTAATTTTTGTTATGGTAATCCCTAAGAAACAGCTAAAATTATAATTTTTGCTAGGCTTCTAAGTTCAGTATAGTCTTGACAAGATATTGAAGTGGCCTGGTGCCTGGGGTTTGGGAACCCTTTTAATATGGTGGTATCGTAAGCCCCCTCAGCTCTTTCAACCGGAGTTGCAAGAGCCATAGACCCACAATACCCGGATCTTGGAGTTTCAGAATCTGAAGACCCTACATGATACGACCGGGTTCGTTATGAAAAGGACCCTCCCCTGAGGCTTCTCTCATTTCTTTGCGCCGGCCTGGACGGACTTGCAGGAAGCAGGCCCGGGCACATCGACAGGCATCCCGTTCCTCAGCAGGCTCCAAAGTGCAGCAGCAGTGCTGCTGCTACTACTGCTGCTACTACTACCACTACTGCTACTACTATAACTACTACTGTAACTACTACTATAACTACTACTACTACTACTACTACTACTACTACTACTACTACTACTACTACTACTACTACTACTACTACTACTACTACTACTACTGCTACTGCTACTGCTACTGCTACTGCTACTACTACTACTACTACTACTACTACTACTACTACTACTACTACTACTACTACTACTACTACTACTACTCCTGCTACTACTACTACGACAACGACTCCCCTCCTACTGCTGTTGTTGCGACTGCGACTACTGCTCCATCGACGGCTGCTGCCACTGCTACTGCTACCGCCTCTGCTGCTGCTGCTACTGCTACTCCCATTCCTACTGCTTGTCTTACCCCGACTGCCACTGCCACCGCTGCGGGTAGCTGCTGGCCGCAGCAGCAGCTGCTGCTGTTTCTGCTGTGTCTGCTGTGTCTGCTGATTCTACTACTGCCACACGAACTTCAGACGACGACAGCCGCGACCGCCGCTACTTATGTCGATTTTGCTGCACTCATCGGTGGCCAATCATGCTTTCAATAGCAGCGAAACTCAAGGAAAGAAGAGGGAAAGACACGGGAGAGATCATGAAGCTCGACTGCTGCCTTGTTACTATGTAGAGCCCGGCGGGCAGAAGGTTGGCACTATGCCACCGACACTCCGCATGGACACCGTCACCCTGAGGAGTCAACCTTGCAGGGTTTAGGTGGCTATGGACATGGGCAAGCGGTGTGCTTGGAAGGTTCCGGGGTTCGGGGAGACGGGGATGTAAGGTCATGGCACGGCAGTGGGACAGAGGTCAAGGGTGCACGCGGTCCCGCCAATTGGGTGGCTTTCGGAAAACCATTGACATGATTCATACGAAGCCAACGTGTCAGTCTGTTTCCACATGCATCACAACGAGTGCAAATTAGTGCAAACGCCCGCGACCATTATCCTTGCGTGTTAAGTTGAGGACACCTTCGCCGGTGTAACATTTACCGGAAGTCTCGCTCATCTCGGGGACTATGCCGAGACTGGTCATGCAGGTGTAGCAGATGCAAACCAAAGCAAAGTGCACTCGAGCGAGCCCGCTTGTGCCATAGGATGCGCAATTCACATACAGCTGCGCACGACTACCTGGCATGTTGGGCATGCATCCGATTCGGAGAGCATCCGGACGTGGCAGCAGTCACTTCCCACTGTAGAAGGTCATCCGCTATTTAGTCGACCAACTAGCGCGATGACAGCATGGTGCCCAGCCGACCTGAGCCTCTCACAAAAGCCAATGAATAGATGCAAGGATTTTTAACGAGAGCGCACGCGGTGCAAAGCAGAGTGCTCGACTCAAGCAAGGGCGTGGCAATGTGCCCGAAGCCGTGCTAATCTCTGCGTTGTCTTCGACAAACCTGTACGCTTGATATGGGCAGACAATCCAAACCAGCTACCGGAATCGAACTGGTCTATTCAGGGACATGCTCACCCATGGCACATGAGTTTCAGTTACGATCAATGATAATGGTATAAGGACTCGGGCTCATGGCAATGAGGTAAAGCCGCTGCCACTGAAAACGAGCTTAGAAAGCCCCTGTAGGACTTAATTATCATATCAAAGGAGAACATCCTATACGTTACCATAATGTTTCTTGGTCTAATGTGTGTAAATATATTACGGTTCATACATTTTGCAGCAGGCCTCGTTGTCCAGCAGCCCGGTCCGAGCGATTCATACATAATTATCAGACTAAAGGAAAAAGATCCCATACTTTACTAACATGTATCTCAGTTATATATATATATATATATATACTTAGGAAACGTTCTTGACCAGAGTTGCGCCTCGACCTGCTCCCTGAAGCGGAGAAGCAGTTGCTCTCGTGGTCGCTGAGCAGCTTCACCTGGGCTGCTCGAGTTTATAGTTTAGGGAAAACTATGAGAATATAGAATGTAACATATATTTGTAGCTGCAAAAAATTAAGAGTTTTGGATAAGTTATGAGAATACATAATGTAACTAGAATCGATTGCACTCTCGAAGCTCGGACTCTCATGCGAGGTTGGTTCGGTCGGAAGGCTGGACACTTTGGCGAAGATCAGGGTTAGGGTTTTAGGTCTGGTACTATAACACTCCAGAATTAACTCTAACACACGATCAACTTTAACACTGTATAACGAACCAGATTATACCATAATCTGTTATAATGTACTACTACCCTGGTCTACTATAAGATAGGTGAGGGGAGCTTGAGTGGAAAGACCGAGTCCACGACATCTCGATAGCCCAGCTCGATCAACAGCCTGACGTAGCCGGGCGATACCCTCTGGTCAAGTACAACAAGATCACGGTGCAGTAAGCATAGCTCGAATCATCGCCTTTGAAATTCGCACGAGGTTTGGGGGCATATTGCAGTATCCTTTGTTTTGTAATAGGAACCCAGGCTATAAGGCACCAGGCAACAGTGTCCAAACTGCTCTGCCGCTGCCTGTCGAAGACGCTGCCCGACGAGGTCCCTCGCTCACGCAGCTGCCGCGCGTGAATCTCCAAGAACAGCCTCTGGGATAGTATAGAAGGCAGGTGTAATATAGTGTTAATTGATAAAGTACTTCAAAGCCTATGGTGTATACATATATATATATGTATACGTACATGGCATGTTACACTATGTTGTAGTACGGTACAGTGTGAGAGTGTGAAAAAGCCTGTAGTATGTTCTAGCATGTTTCAAACACACTCACTGAAGTAGCTTCCAAAATCTTTGTGTGTATATATACATTATATATATATATATATATATATAGATATATATATATAGATATATATATATATAGACATATATATATATATATATATAGATATATATATATATATATATATATAGATATATATATATATATATATATATATATATATATATATATGCGTATATATATATATATACATACACACACACATATATATTCTCGTATCTTGTTGTATCTTACAGCAGATCATGGCTTTTGTTTATAGCCTCTTGCTAGCATGTAAAACCCTACCATAGTATATTGTCGTATATGCTAGTATATCCGATAGAAAGTACTGTGTATGCTAGCTTGATGTAGTAAATGTGGAAAGAATTCTGCATACCGTAGGACACTGTGGTATCGCATAGAAAAGTATAATAGCTCTCGGTTCACGAAATCTGGTATCGATGTTAGAGTACAAAATACGATAGTGTATTATGGTGTTTGGTCTCTCTCTGTCTCTGCCGTGCCGTGTCCGAGGGCGTCGCTACGCAAGGGCATGTAACCGAAGGCTAGAACATCAGGAGGCATAACGGGAACGGGCGACCTCCCTCCTACGTCGAGCCCACCAAGCTATTTATAGCATGTAAACATGTAAAGAAAGTATACCATGAGATGTTTCTTCTTGGTTCGAAAACAATGCCCTATAACACCGCACAAAAGCTTCACGCTTAGTTTTGACAATGCCCCCTACAACCCCCTTCGTCAAAGCTCTTGTAGAACCCTGGCTGGAACCCTTATGAAATCCCCAAGGCTGCCCCACATCTTCAGCCATACCCTCATGCATAGAGCCCTTTTACAGCTATAGCACCAAGCCCCAACACCTCAAATCAAAAACCTCTAAACCCCCCAACCCCAAGCCCTAAAATCCCCTGCCCAAAATCCCAGAACCAAAGAGAGAGCCCAAATCTCCGTGCCAAAAATACCTCGGCTGGTGGAGACGCAGGCTTTGCCATGCACCTATGAGCGCCTCTTCCTGACGGGTTCTACAAGGGCAACTACAAGGGCTTCTATAAGGGGCACTTCTACAAGCGCCCACACTTGTTGCATGAAGTTGCCAGAAACATAGGGACCTTTAGGGGGGTACGGGGGGGGGGGGGGGTAGGGGATTATATTTCCTTAAACCAGCCTATCGTTAGCATGGGCATTACAGCCCCCTGCCCCCTCCGCTACCGCCTGCAGGTCCCTATGGCAGAAGAAGGAGGGCTACTAGAAGCGTTGCCGCAAGCGTTCTTTCAAGGTGGTGGTTTGGGTTTTTGAGGTCTTGGGCTCTTCGGGTTTTCGCTTTCGGTTAGATTTTTTGGGTCTTGGGCCTCAGCTGCGCACTGGATGTGTGGGACGCTGATGCAGGCCCAAACCGCAGGATCCCTATCTTCCTTGCTTTACAAGTAGTAGTGCCATTAGAAGTAGTAGGAGGAGCAGGAGTAGGAGTCGTAGTGGTTCTGTGGCGGCGTGGCAGCGGCAGTGGCAGCGGGCAGTGGTAGTGGTAGCGGCAGTGGCAGTGGCTGTGGTAGTGGTAATGGCAGTCGTAGTGGCAATAACAGTAGTGGTAGTGGCAGCGGCCGGAGTGGCGGCAGGAGTAGCAGTGGTTTACCAACTAGTAAACGTTAATGTTGTATAGATGTAGACCCATATGACCCTCATTGTTAACTCCCGGTCCTCCGAACCCTCGACATCAATCTTCAGCGCACAGAGCCGTGACCGCTTTTCGAGGAGGGCATCCAAAGCCACCTCATCTAACGCAGGGGCCTTGATTAGAATATGGTTGCGGCGAAGATTCTGGCATATCTGCTTTGGGACAACAGGGAACAGCATGACCAGGAGTCCCGACCCCTGTTTCAACACCCCTGGAAGGGCACAGGGTCCGACAGAACCCGAGCGGTCTGTAGTTTTAGATGTTTCCAAGGCATGTACAAGGGATTCTATGAAGTGCTACCCACGTCTCGACTGCATAAGTCAGGCAAAGACCTGATAAATAACCTTTCTTGCTTGAAGGGCCTTCATCTTCGGATCCCCGTATTTTGCTGGCTCCTTGGAACGCGGGATACCCTTGCAGAGAGGATCATGATCTCGCGATCCCTCGGACATTTTTGGACTCGCAATGTATCCTGCCGGAAAACTCCTGCCTTCGCATTTCCAAATTCTGGCCGTGTGGCGGTGCTGACCAGCTGACCATCATCTCCCGTGTCGACGACCTCGAGTGAAACGTGGACCAAGACGCAACCAGCAAAGACTTGCAAACACGACTTGCGCCCTCTCCTCCATCCCAGTGCCTGCACCGTGCAAGCCGCAGAGTGCTTCTCCGGGCACCTCAAAGAGGCTCTCCGTCGAGGTCTGTGTGTATGTATGTATGTATATATATATATATATATATATATATGATATATGGTACCCCCCCCCCGGTACCCAGGTCTGTCCTCTTCCCTCTTGAGCAGAAACCCAAGACCTGGGTATCGGAGGGGGGGGTCGATCATGGAAAACGTTGGTTTTACCAACATTTCCAACAATTTCCATGATTCGCCAAACTATGGCTCCGGCTCCCGAGGTTTCTAGACATTCATGGAAATTGTTGGTTTTACCAACATTTTCCGCTAGCCAATCATGGAAATTGTTGGTTTTACCAACATTTCCAACAATTTCCATGATTCTCCAAACTATGGCTCCGGCTCCCGAGGTTTCTCGAAATTCATGGAAATTGTTGGAATTGTTGGTTTTACCAACATTTTCCGCTAGCCAATCATGGAAATTGTTGGTTTTACCAACATTTCCAACAATTTCCATGATTCTCCAAACTATGGCTCCGGCTCCCGAGGTTTCTCGAAATTCATGGAAATTGTTGGTTTTACCAACATTTTCCGCTAGCCAATCATGGAAATTGTTGGTTTTACCAACATTTCCAACAATTTCCATGATTCTCCAAACTATGGCTCCGGCTCCCGAGGTTTCTCGAAATTCATTTGTTGGTTTTACCAACATTTCCAACAATTTCCATGATTCTCCAAACTATGGCTCCGGCTCCCGAGGTTTCTCGAAATTCATGGAAAAATTGTTGGTTTTACCAACATTTTCCGCTAGCCAATCATGGAAATTGTTGGTTTTACCAACATTTCCAACAATTTCCATGATTCTCCAAACTATGGCTCCGGCTCCCGAGGTTTCTCGAAATTCATGGAAATTGTTGGAATTGTTGGTTTTACCAACATTTTCCGCTAGCCAATCATGGAAATTGTTGGTTTTACCAACATTTCCAACAATTTCCATGATTCTCCAAACTATGGCTCCGGCTCCCGAGGTTTCTCGAAATTCATGGAAATTGTTGGAATTGTTGGTTTTACCAACATTTTCCGCTAGCCAATCATGGAAATTGTTGGTTTTACCAACAATTTCCATGATGCCAGGTGTTTTTGCTTTTGGGGCCGCCCTCAGAAACTGTTAACGGCTAATGCTCATGACGCTCACCCCCGCCGCTTGCTCATGATGCTTATTGCTTGCACTGCCCCAAAAGCATAAACACTTGATCAGACCTTGCCATAGTTCACAACATAGCCTGAACTGGTAAAAGGTTTAACAGCCCCGCTGACGTTGGATGAAGAGGTACTGCTTCTGTCCCGGCTGACTGAGTGAGCCAAACTACACATGCACGCGAGAGCGCAAAGAGTGTGTTTGCCCAATTCGCACCGGGGGTAAGGGTATGAGTTGATGCACATCCGATCTTGAAACAGATTTTCTCGAGCAACAAAACTGGCAGCATTCCGGTTCCAATTACCCGAATACTCGCGTCTGTAGTGGAGTATCCTTGTGCTTCGGTTCAGTATGGCTGGTCGGGGCTGCGATGTGTCCATCGAAGTTGGTATCGAGGCCACCAAGGGTATGTACCTCTCCAAGCCCCTTCCTTACCCATCATGGTCAGACCAGGCTGTTGGCGGTATGTCTATCATGGACTTGCCCCTCCAAGACTTGCCGCGTGACCAGGCGATGTTGAAACATTTCGTGGATGTGGTTACGGATGTTCCCCCTCCCGACAAAACTGCAATCGAGACCGCCATCAATGCAGGTACATGGGGTAAAGACAAGCTTCCGACACCGTTTTGCCTCAAGGCTGACATGGAACTCAAACTGGTTACTCAGTTCGTTGTTATGGACCAGTCCAACGGCAAAGTCACGGTCATGAAGCACATGTACAGCCCGGACATGAAGCTCGGAAAGGAACAAATTCATCAACTATGCCATGGCACTCCATACACACTCAAGTGGCAGGGGCACGCAATGAATTTCCGAAAGGGCTTTCAATGGTTCCTTGAACAGCTCGGGGGGTGGCAATGCCGCCAGTATGCACTTTCTCACGTCATGACATGTCAAAAAAACCGCGGTGAGGGTTCCAAGGGCTTTCACATATCCGAGCTCACAGAGGAAGAGGTCGACAAGGGGTTTGCGTTCATCCAAGAGGAAGCGGGCAACCTTGCGAGTGAATGGAAACGAATTCAATGGATAACGAAGAACTTGCACATCAACGCCGAATCGCCCATCTACCAGTGGCCAATCGCGATCGTAGAGAAATCCCTCCATGCTATCCGTACCGATGGCGTCCTTGCGCTCCCCGTAGAGGATTTCTATTTGACTCTGGCCGATGTCGACGTTGATGTTCTGAAGTTTGCTGTCAACCCCATGCTCAAGGCTATGACGACCCACGCGATCGGACTTGTAGGGGGACCGGGAAGTGGAAAAACACCGCTAGCAAGAGTGTTGGCTCTTTGCGCTTCCCGTTACCTAGCATGAGGGGTGTTTGCAAGTTTTTTTCTTGTTTTTATACAAGCCGCCCCAAAACCAACTATCCGCAAACCCCCAACACGAGGTTATTGGAAACGCAAGATGTCACTCACATCCCCAGCCTCGTATCGCGAAGCTTCGGAGTTTGATTTCTTTCGGGGACAACCCGGTCGCAAAGACCGCCCCGACATTCATGATGATGGACGCCTCGCCGAGGAGCCCATCAGGAAAGTGAAAGGATTTACGGATGTTGGCTGCACCATGTTAACACGGGAACGGTGGGGTGCAGCCAAGTTCGTGCAAGGGCAGTTGCGGGTGTTCGTATGCAACGACTACACGTACACAGAGTGGGCAGAGCGCCAACAAGACACAGTTTCAGGCACAGTACTCTACATGACACACGAGCAGTTTCTGGAAGTCATCTCCCCCGTCTTTCCGAAGGACACGACCACACCTCATATCATGGCAGTCCTCAAGCGTGCCAACATCCTCGTCAATGTAGGTAAACTCATGATCTTCAGGCGAGCAACACAAGATGAAATCACTGTCCCTTGCTTGTGCACCGGGAACACGGTAAACTACTTGAAGCCTGATGCCCAAACGAAATATATCCGATACCGAGACAGCATGCTGTCAAAGCCATCTTCTTTTGAAGCGGATGTAGAATGGGAAGCTGCCTATGTGGATGCCCTGCTTGCTGGCAAGAACCTACCCCGCTCCGGAGCAACCATCATCAACAGTGGTGCAGTGCATCGTCTTTTCCATGGTGAACCCAACGTATCTCTCAACTGCAGCTCCATCCACTCCTCCTGCCGTGGCCCCCCCTGTCCCGAAGCCGGTTGTCGTCAAGGAGGAGCCCCGTTCCTTTCGTCGAGCACTCACCGGATTGTCAGGTCAAGTCGTTGATCTTTGTTCACCACCCAAAAAGGCAGCAAAGACGAGAGCACTTTCGGATGTCAAGGCTGAGCTAGCTGAGGACTCCGAGCCCTCAGGGATCACAGCTGAAGCCGTCCTTCCACCTGAGACTTCCAGTTCATCTTCGCATTTGGGCCATTTGGATTCCGCTAATGCCGTGATCGTTGGTTCCCCCATGGATGTTGTTTCGCAGGAAGCCTCACTACATGATCCGATGGATGATCTTTCCCAGGAGCTTGAAAGGATGATGGAGGATGACCAGAGTAGCTGAGCCAGTTAATGACTGTTTCTGTTTCTATGGCATTTCCCCGGTCGGGTAACCAACAAGGGCTTAAACGGTGTAATGTGTTACAGCTACTTCTAAGCTTGGAATACAAAGCCTAGCAAGTTGACGTTTTTCCTAGCTGCAAAGTAACCAAAAAAAGATACAAATCTCGTGATCTATCGCATGATGCACCCTAAGCTTGTGAAACAACAGAGCCGCGGGCAAGTATTGTCTGGAGGACCTGATGGGGAAACAGTTTTGATGCCATGATGCTCATCCGCGATTTCGGGCCGAAGTGTCTACAAATCCTACGCGACCGCCAGAAAAAGGGATTCTGTTGCAAACAGTCGCAAACCAAGACATGCCTTTATACAGTCCATGTTGTTGCGAGGGCAGCGCGACAAGCTTACATCCATCCTGCTTTCTTGTCAAAAAGGTCGACTACTTCAGAGACTCTTAGCTGTAGGCAAGGGGCTATTGCACCTTCGGTAGTCACTCTCATGGGAAAGATGACCCCTTCATCCTTTGTGCCCAAAAAGGGCAAGGCTCGTTCAGTGCAAAAGCGCCCCGCCAGCATGAAGTCCAAACTTTGGCAAGGCGTAAGCTACATTCGGGACAAGGAAGGGGTGACCCCACGCGGGGTTCGGAAGGACCAGGTGAAGTGGAAACGCACTTTGCATGATCTTCTCAAGGCCTCCAACTCCGGCATCATTCGTCTTCTTGTTGCTGACAAGCTCCTACCAAATTGGACGGGGAAGACATGTCCGTATTGCTCCAAAGGTACTTTGTCCAAGTTGCAATTCTATGCTCGCACCGGTTGCCTTAAGCATCGTTGTGGACACTGGAAATGTCGGTCATGGATGAATCCGCACCACTTGCATCCCATCTTCACCGAAGGAACTGGCCCTGAAGCACAACCTCTTCAATCTCAAGCCGCACTCTTGCTTCTCAAGCTACACCATGTTCCTCAGAGCACCATCCACCTCCTTTTGGGGATCAACCACAAAGCAGTGGAAGATGTGGAAAGGAAGCTTTGCACCCTTCGCAAGGAATACGTGGAGAAAGTGGAAAAGACCATCACTTTTGGCAACGGTAAGGGTTGGCAGGATGTGGAGGCTGACGAAGCCACTTTCGACAAGCGTAACATCGCGAACGTTTTGGAGTTCAAGCACCTTGTCAAGTCCAAAACGGGCACCATCATGTGGGAGCAGTGGGGCGGGATCATCCAAAGGGGACGTCCAACATCGCTGGTACTTCGACGGCTCACCCCCAGAGTCACAGTGCCACGAGCTCCTGGCCCAGGGGCGATTCGCAAAGTTGAGTGGAAGGCATTGGCAAATGAGTTCTTGTGCGACCGGAAAGT